AAATATTTTAAGGGCTGGATAGATGGATCATTGCATAAAAGCTGCACAACCAGGATGACCTAAGTGCGCTCCCCAGATTTGGTGATATATATCTATATATGCATGCACTGCAGTAGCCCCAAAAGCAAGGTAGAAGGAGAGACCTGATTTTGAAAAGGCACCCTCCACATGTGCACCACAGCACACATACGTACTCTCAGTAAAATAAATGCCTTTTTTTGTTTTCTTTTGCTTTTTTGTTTTTCAAGACAGGGTTTCTCTGTGTAGTTTTGGAGCCTTTCCTGGAACTCACTCTGTAGCCCAGGCTGGCCTCAAACTCACAGAGATCCTCTTGCTTCTGCCTCCCGAGTGTTGGGTTTCAAGGCATGCGCCACCACCGCCCAGCTTTAAATAAAGTTTTGAAACACTGATTTAAAAGTAGAAACACTACATTTACACTGAAAAAACAGAGTTTTAATACTCTTAGCTTTGTTGAATAATACATTTTAAACACAATTTTAATATCCTAAGATGGATTTCTTGTGATTAAGCCTTTATCTGATAAGTTTGAAGATCATAAAAAATAATATTTAGATCGTGGAGGTCACCATTCGTGCCATTTTTCAGACTGAGAAGTGAGCGCACAAGCAGTTCAGTGGATCAACCCGAGCCAAGCGTTACTGTGTTGGGGATTCTATCCTCGAGGCTCACATGCGGGTTTACATATTGGCTTACTCACTTAACTCGCCGGATCACTGTTTTAGTTACTTCTCCATTGCTGAGAAGAGACACCATGAGCAAGGCAACAGATAAAAAGGAGCGTTTAATTGGGGGCCTGAGTCCATTTTCAGAGGCTAAGTCCATGACCATCCCAGCAGCAGACAGACAAGCATGGTGCCAGAGCAGGAGCTGAGAGCTTACATCCCATCCACATCTGAGGAGGTAGAGAGCACAAGACCGGCCTGGAGTGGGCTTTTGAAACCTCGAAGCCCACCCCTAGAGACACACCTCCTCCAACACGGTCACACCTCCTAACCCTTCCTAAAATAGTTCCACCAGCAGGGAACCAAGCATTCAAACCCTTGAGCCATGGGGACCATTCCCATTCAGACCATCACAGTCGCCATTTACCAAACAAGAGCCCAGAAGTCAGGAACACTAGGATGTTCAAATACTAAAAGAAGGGAGGCACTGTGGTGAATTCTCCTGGCATTTGCTCATTTGAAAAACAGTCCATGCTTTGCCTGCATTTTTTTTTTTTTAAAGAAAAAGTTGATGGGACTGAGCTTGTAGGTTAACGGTTTTGTTTTTCCCTTTCAGTACCTTGAAGCGTCTTCCCACGACATTTTGGCCTGCATGGTTCCTGATAAGAAATCAGCTGCCACCTGTGTCTTCTTCCCTCTGAAGGCTGTGTTTGTGTATTTAAAACTCTTATCACCAAGTTTCAGAAGTTTAGCTATGGTTTATCTTGTAGTGATTCAATTTGTTGCTTCTGCTTGGAGTTATTTTGATTCTTGGATCTATAGGTTTTTAGGTTGTATTGGAATCACTTTAGCTATTCTTTTTTTAAAATGTATGTGTGCTCTTTATAAAAGTTTAAGTCTTTCCTTATGGAATTACAATTACGTATATTAGATTGTTTTAAAGTCACAAATGTTCCAATTTTCTGCAGCTCTTTTTTCTTTGTGTATCTTATTTTTGCATAATTGATATTGGTATGTGAAGGGTTTACAACACGGTCGCATTTACCAGGCGGACACTTCCGCCTAGCCATTTCCGGATCAAAAGCGTCTCTTGTAGCTAGGATACCCGGTGGGCCCGGATATCTCCGCCTAGCAAGTTCCGGGCCAAGGGGTCTCGCATGCTCAGGGTCCGTGACATTGCATGGTCATGTAAGCGCGCAATGTGACCATGTTATCTACGCACACACGTAGAGTAGTGACGTGACCTGGCCACGCCCCCAGCCGGTTTTAAAAGTCAAGCGCCATTTTCCCCACTCCCCTCTTCTCCACGCACGTGTCTCTCCCACAGGCCTGCACTCTCTGTCCCTTTATTTCCTAATAAACTCTTATAAGTGGATTCTGTCGTGTTTCGTGACGCTTCCTTACAGGGTAAGAACACAACGCAGCCAGAAAACTAACAGTATGGTTTTTTTATTTCATTTTCAATGATGCTTCTTATACAGTGTCCTACTTATCGTTACTATCTCACATAGTCTGTATTTAAAATATTACATTTTCATCCCTATAAGAATTGCTATTTGGATTTTCTTTCCCTAATCTCCATGTTTTTCTTTACAACTTAGCCTGCTTATAATACCTAAAGTAACTACTTTTAAGATTCTTTTTGCTCTATCATTACTAATGTTTTTTCTCCTAATTATGTGCTACACTTTCTAAAATTTTTGCATGTCTAATACCTTTTAACTGGATACCTATGAATTTTACTGCTGTGTGGTTAATGTTCTTGTTAGTCACTGAATTTTGTTGTATTTCTTTAAAGACTGCTGAAGTTGTTCTGGTGTATTTAGATAATTTGCATATCAATTATATCCTTTTAGGGCTTGCATCTAAGGTTAGTTATTTTAAAATTAATTCTACTCCATTACTAATGCATGGCCCCTTCTCAGAAAGCACAGATCTGAGTTCCCATTTGTACAATGTCTGAACACTATTGTTTTGCATACTTTGTCTGGTTTTCTACTTGTTTATGGTAGCAAAGCAATGATCATGGCAGATTTTTTAGGTATTTTTCTTTTTTTGTTCGCTATAACCAACTATCCAAAAATGGGTGGCTTATCAGAAATAATTTATTTTTCTTGTCTGGAGTCCACAACCAAGGACCCCGCAGGTGTGTTCTTTGTGAAGGTCACCTTTCCAGCTATTTATGAAGAATTCATAATCCAAATTAGTCTTTGCCAGTTGTAGTTACTTATCTTACTTTTACAAACTGCACAAAAGTGTTAATACATTGTTGGGGAATCCATTAGGGCCTTGGAAAAGGCTTAAACAAAGGACACCAGTCTCTTGGGCTTTGTTTGTTTTACCTTATTCTGCCACTGACTTTGTCATTGGTGTTTTAAAGAAAGTTTATGTCACATATAGAATCAGAATTTGGAGATTCTTTTTTTTTTCACCATTATAATCTTAGTCTGGAAATTTTATTTATTAAGCACTGAAAATGGGAATCAGAAAACATTCTTTATGCAGCTCTTTTCCAGACATCTGATACTGATGGAAAGCAGTTCATTGCTCAGTTTCTTTCTGAGTTCCTTCATCTTTCTGAAAAAGTTAAGTGTATAAAGGGTTAGATGAAGAAAAAACAAGCCCACTTACAACTTACTTGTCTGATCATTTTAGAAGAAAAAGAAGTCAGGCAACATTTTTGATTGACACCCACGAAACATTTGATTTCACTTTTGTTCTTAGCGAGGGGCGTGGTCTGTTTATTGTGTCCCCCATGCCCTGGCTCTCTTCCTTAGGAAAAATAAAATAACCTGGTTTGTGTCAATGCTTCCCCCTTTCTTATGCCTTTATTAGATTTTACGGCAGGTATTCAATTTCTAATGGCTTTGCTATCCACTGTTAATAATGTTTCTTTTAGAAAATGATTAGAATGAAACTATTTTCACCAACTGTTTTGTTCTTTTAACAATTACCTTATCTTCGTGACAGTCCCTGTTTCACAGGGGGTAGTTTGATGCCTCAGTCAGAACAAAAGAAACTCTCTGTACACCGACTACAACACTCAGACTATCGCAATGTCTGGCTGCTATTAGGATGTTTAAAGTATTTTTCCTGTTTTGAATGTTCATTCCTGTTCTGAATTGTTTGAGGGAATAAATTTATATACAAACATGTGCTTCCGGATTTTAGGTATTCAGAGGGTATTGACTGATATCAGTAAGTGTCTCACACAGGAACTCACAAGGGGCAAACTGTAAGATTTACATCTGTGAAAAGAATTAAAGGACACTGAATGATTTCAGAGATATTTATGACCTCAAGTAAGAATTCTAAAACTTAAATTGGGCTTTAAGTTGAGTGGGTTGAAGGGACAGTTAGGGGCAGTAAAAACAAACAGGACAAAAATCTACTGGGCAAAGCAAGGTAGGCACCAGGAATCACCTAATTAAGTCAATGACATATGGTGGTATTTTATTTGTACTGAAATGTGATTTTAATTGTATGTTAACAAATAAAGTTGCCCGGGGGTCAGAGCTATTAGCAAGCCATAAGAAAGCAGGGCAGTGGTGGCATAAGCACTTGGTAGGCAAAGCTAGGTAAGTCTCTGTGTGTTCAGGGATACAGCCAGCATTGGAGACACACACCTTTAATCTCAATACCATAGAAGACCTGGAGGGCTGTACTTACAGGCAGTGACGAGGCAGTCACATGGTTGGGTTTACAACCAATGAGGAGGCAGAACAGAAAGTCTATATAAAGACAAACAGACAGGAAGTAGGTCTCTTTTTCAGAGAGGTCTCTTGGCTAGCTGCAGCAGGCAGGTGAGGCTCTTAGCTCTGATCTCTTGGCTTTCTTCTTTGCATTGGTTCTGTGTTTCTTGTTTAACATCTACAATGGTTACATCTACAATGACATCTATCAAAAATGTATCCTGAGTGTCTGGTTAATGAAAAGATACAAAAAGATACAAAGGTAAAGGATGAATGGTCTTTCTCGTGCACCAAAAAGTTAATCTGTCAATGAGAAAGGAAGGTGAGATAACTGCTACAACAGAAGAGATTTCTGGAAATAGAATTTATATCATAACTTTTCTTTAAATGTTGCCTGTGCAACTGACTATAGTCAGAAAGATCCACGTTTAAAATGTAACTCTCCCTCTTCCTAACTGTGTAACCTAGAGCCTTGTTTTAGTCATGGTTTCATCTGTGTCTTTTACCATAGGTCATGGATACAATCAGAAGTTCTTCACCAGCTTGTTCATTCCCACCATCTCAGGAAACATTTTGCTTCCATCGTTGTGTGAAATTAATGGAGCCTGGGCTACCTTTTACGGCCACAGGCTTTGAATTTTGTTACTCCACAATTCCAGTGATGGTTACTGGGCTCCAGTCCTTGCTGTCTGTTGAGTGGTATTAGTGTCCTGCCTCATCACCTGAACATTCTCCACATTTCAGGGGTTAAAGATGTAGTACACATCAGAACTGAGTTTTTGTGCTGGGCATAGTGGCTAAAGCCTGAAATCCTTGTACTCAAGAGACTGAGGTGGGAGATTTTCATGAGTTCAAGGCTAGCCTGGATTACAGGGTAAGACTCTATCATCAAAACCAAAAATGGAACTCTCCCAAAGAACAAAAAGGAAACTGTCTGAAATGAGAATGTCATGAATCTAAATCAAAGATAAGAACACTTAGGGACCAGAAAAGGAATCCATATGGCTATTTTAGTTGCTTTTAACTGTTTTAGTATTTTAGTTGCTTTTCATTGCTATGACAAAATTTCTCAAGAAGATATGTAAGAGAGGAAAGACTTCTTCAGGCTCCCATTTCCAGAAATTTCAGACCATTGTTGACTGGCACCATTGCCCCATGCCTGTGGCAAGGCAGAAACATCATGGCATCAAGGCATTCTGGTGAGAAGCTGCTTGCTGCATGACCACTAGGAGCTAGAGCGAGAAGGGAGACAGTGACAAAACCAACCATTTCACGGCATACTCCTAGTGACCTCATTCCTCCCACTCACTTCTTAGTTCCTCCTGTCTCCTAGTAACACCATCATTTTAAGACTCCATCATTGTTTAGATAACAGCCCTTCTGGTCCAGCCACCATTCAATAATGCCATCATCTGGGAAATCCTCTAACAGGTAAACCTTGGTTTGGGCCTGGCACTGGGGTAAGGTGGCACTTTGTACTTAAACCATAATAGCTGGAGTGAAAGGTTTACATGATTCAAAGCTGAGAAGTATGTTTTAGCCTTGTATTAGTCTGGGTTTTCTAGAGAAACAACTTATAGGATGAATATCCATCTATCTATCTATCTATCTATCTATCTATCTATCTATCTATCTATCTACCTACCTACCTATGTACCTACCTATCTATCCATTTAGCTATATAAAGGGGACTTGTTAGAATGACTTACAGGCTGTGGTCTAGCTAATCCAACCATAGCTGGCTATGAATAGAAGCTCTAAAAATCCAGAAGTTGCTAAGTCCAAAGGCTGGACTTCAGGTATACGCTGGAATCCCAAAGAAGTAGGCTCTGATGCTTGGTGTGGAATGTCATTCTGTATGCTGTGAATGTGTGCTGCTATGATTGGTTGATAAATAAAATGCCGATTGGCCAGCAGCCAGGCAGGAAGTATAGGCGGGGCAAGCAGACAAGGAGAATTCTGGGAAGAGGAAGGCTGAATTGCCAGTCAGACACAGAGGAAACAAGATGTCAAGGCAGAACCGAGAAAAGGTATCAAGACATGTGACTAAACATAGATAAGAATTATGTGTTAATTTAAGTGTTAAGAGCTAATCAGTAATAAGCCTGAGCTAATGGTCAAGCAGTTATAATTAACATAAGCCTCTGTGTGTTTACTTGGGGGATGTGAGTGGGAGAGATTTGTCCCGACTGCTGGCTGGCTGGGACACAGGAAATCTTCCAACTACAGAAGTGCCTGAAGGAATGGACTTGCTATCAAGGTGAGAGCAAGCAGGCAAAGAGAAAAACTTTCCTTCTTCATATCCTTATATAGGCTTCCAGCAGAAGGTGTGGCCCAGATAAAAGGTGGGTCTTCCCACCTCAAGATCTGGGATTAAAGGCAGATCTTTTTTTTTTTTTTTTTTTTTTTTTTCCCCAGATCCAAATATCTGGATTAAAGGTGTGTCTTCCTACCTCAAAGATCTGGTTTAGAAGTGGATCTTCCTACTTCAAATTAAGCAAACAATTCCTCACAGGTGTGCCCTCCATTTTAGGGTTTTATTTAATTCCCGATGTAGTCAAGTTGACAAGAATAGCCATCACAAGCCCAGATCTTTTTTCATAAAAGTGTGTACATGTATGCATTTGTATGAGGAGAAGTTTCCATGATCTAATACTTTGTTTAAGTAAAATTGAAGTAATGTCAGTGAGATGATTCAGCAAGACCAAAGTACTTGCCAACAAGCATAACATCCTAAGTTTGATCCTGGGACCCATAAGGTGGGAAGAGAAAAGTGACTCCTGTATGTTGTCCTTTGACTTGCATGGGTGCTCTATGGCACACGTGCCTCTCTGCCATACGCACTAAATAAATAAATGAATGAACATTTAAATTTTTAAATTGAAAAATTAAGACTAGCAACTATCTAACAGCTGAGAGGAAGTTTAATAACAATCTTCCAATTTAATCTACAGAGATCATTTTCTACCGAGACACTCCTCACTTCTTTAGTGCAGATTGTTACAGAGAAAGTCGACTGTGGAGGTAGAAAGTGATCCAGTGGGAGGGATCAAGTCTTCTGCTTGACACGTGGTGTGGCCCTCACTGAGAAATGTGCACAGAAGACAACATTTGAGGGAGAGCAAGCAGGCTAGTGTAGATACGGGGAGCCAGGGAAAGGGGGGGGCAGCAAGAGACGAGGCAAGAGAGCTGGGGAGAGGTGGCAGGGCACGCAGGGCCTTAGGCTGCGGAAGAGATTTTGCACATTTGTGTCCCGTGAAGCAAAGACTCCTCCTCACATTCAAGAAGCCCCAAACCGAGATGTCACAACACCCTCTTAGTCAATTAAGGAGAACAGTTTGTAACCTGAATTATTTTCTGAGTGCAGATGATTCTGTGAGATTACCAAAAATTCGGTCTCGGGAAAGGAAGAGTTGTCTGGGGACATGACACGGACTGTGGTTAGCAGAGTTCTTGGAACAGCCTGACAGTTTCTCAGGTCTCTGTCTTTCACCTCTCTAAAGGGATTGGCAAAAATTTTTAGCAAAAAACCGCTGGTAATTTCTTTAAGACGATGGTATATTATTGATACTATTCAAGTGTCACAGCACTTGTCCTATTAGCTGTTCAATCACATATCCAACCAACCAACACCTACTTTTGTACCTATTGTAGTCCAGGAAACATGTGAAGTATTGACAACACAGAGATATGTAAATGGCTCCTTCCCAGTTCCCAGTCAAGAGAATCAGATTCAGAAATAGTCACGAGATGATGTATCAGGTACCTGGTGTGTAGCAGATACACAGTTGAATAGTGATGGTGACGGTGAGAATGCTGTACTCTGTCTGAGTTAGAATGGGAGCAAGAATTCATGTTTGGCCATCAGCTCCACAAGGAAATATTTATTTTCTTCTCTCCTGGATTTAATACAGAATACAGCAAATAATTGATATTCAGTAAAGTTTTTTTTTTGTTTGTTTGGTTTATTTGTTTGCTTGAGACAAGGTCTCTCTGTGTAACAGCCCTAGCTTTTCTGGAACTTACTTTTGAGATCAGGTTGGCCTCAAACTCACAAAGCTCTGTCTACCTCTGCCTTCCGAGTACGGGTATTAAAGGCATGCACCACCACCGCTCAGCTAATGCTCAGTAAAATTGTATTGCCCGAATGAATGAGGTGTTGTATAGAGTGAAGTGGGCATAAGATTTGTTTGGGAGGCTGGTCACACTATCGGCAAGTGGAAGAACACGCACACACGGAATGATGGTGTGGAGCTGCGTCGTTCTGTCGTAGCAATACGACTTCCACTCAGTCGGTTTCCTGAAACACCTATATTTTTAACACTGAAAGGCCTCTGTTTCCCAGCTCCTTTTACTGGTGTGTTTACAAGCAAGAACAACTCTGCAATCAGCACAGATAGCATTGTCCTCACAATAGGAAGATCGACTCGCTAGAGTAAACCCAGTCGTAGGAAAGAATGATTACAGATTTTGCCACGCAATAAAATGGAGTATCTTTTTCATTCATTGTTACACTTCAGCCTTCATCAGGTATAACAAACTCTGGAAGTGATTTCTACGGAATGACAAAGGAAATGGAACAAAAATTCATTGAAAACTGGTTCACACCAGCTCTGTGGCATGTACTATTAACAGCTAAGAGCAAGTCACAAAACATTATCTTGAGGAGAAAGGGCTTAGTGAACCCTAGAAATTGAGTTTGATTTATGCCAGCAAATCTGCCTTTTCACTGCTTGAGATTTCTAAGGAAGAAAGCCACAGTTCTTACCAAATGGTTTCTAAGGAAACCCCTTAGCCTACAGCCTTGGAAAACAATTCGGTTGTTAATGAGCACTCCTTCTCACGGTGGGAAAGTGTGGACTAAAAGAGAAGCCTCCTAGACTGGGCAGGCAATCTGTGAAATGTTCGCTCTTCTACAGTCACCTTTATGAAATCTCTACCCGGAGTAAACATTTTTAGGTCCTGTTTCACAGTTGTTCTTACTCGAGTATACTTTCCTAAGGAAGCCAGGGCAGCAGGAGCGCATTCCCACTGACAATGAGCTTGCAAATGTATTCAAACAACTTGCATTCCAGACTCTGGCCACTCCATTGAGGTTTTCCGTCAGTTTTGGAATCCAGCATTGTAGGGTTTACATATACTATTAAATTATAAATATTAATTTCATTTGCATAAAATATATCTGAAAATTCTAGACAGCATTATTTGTCATTAATTCTGTTTTTAAAATGTATTCCGAAGTGTCCAGTAAGTTATCTTCATTTTACTTCAAGTTCTTCCCCCAAATGAATTGCAGTTTTAACTATGATTCTTTTATAATAACTTGAAGATGCCTTTAAATATATAATAAAACAGTCTCCTAGTTAAAAGACAGATGCTAGTTACTCTCACTTCTCACTGAAGTCAGATTTCCAAAAGCCCTGCCTGCATTTTCTTGATAATTATTTGGTAATGAAAGCAAAGGAAATTCATTCACAAATTTCAGTAGAATTTTCCTCTCAAGCTTTATTCAGAAACATAAAAAGAATAAACGCTAGGAGCCAAAAGAAAGTGACCATTCCAAATTCAGAAGAAAATATTTAGAAATCTTTCTGGCCCTGGGATGCTGTCCATTTTCAAGTCTTTGTCAAAACATAACAGTCAGTGGCTGAGTCTCTTGGAAACCTCTGCGGGCATCACTCTGTCCATAGCTGCCGTCAGTCCATCTGTCCCCAAATATGTTTTCTGCTTTCGACTTCTGTGCCGAGGAGAGCTGCCAAGATTCTTCTTGTCCTCACTTGTTCTCCTCATGTGACCCCTCCCTCCTCTCTCGCTCTCCCCACTTGTCTTTGAACTTCCTCCTCTGTGGACAACTGCTTTCATTTGTAGCTGCTTTGGATTGGGGGAAAGCTGTGCCAAGGAAAAGAAGACGACAAGAAGGGCCGCAAGTGCTTTGCATGTGTGGCAGCTCTCTGGCTGTCCACCGCTGGGTCTTCTTGTCCTTCGGGTAGGAGGCTAAGAAGGGACGCGCTGCTGGACATTGGCCCTGAGAGGTTTCTGTCCCTCACCCGACAATCAACATGTTCAAAAGCCATTTGTTTTGAAAGAGAATATGTATTTGCTTTGCTCAGACATATGCTACTGCCAATATTTTATAGCTTACAAGAGTAGTTTTGTTGGTTTTTCAGACAGGTTCTCACTATGCAGCCCAAGCTCCATTGTAAACCCCTCACATCTGCCTCATCAATGTGGAGGTTACAGTCACACATCGCCACACTGGCTTACAATAATAATTTAGATGACAGTTTTATTAGGACATTAAAGAGGGAGGGATTCTGACTTTTTCTCCCTCGTTCCTTAGAATACACAAAAATCAGAGGGCAGAAAGCTCTCTAGCCAATGTTTTCAGAGTGATATACTATAGATATGTCTGTACATGAGAATAATTCATAAATATTGGTTCATGAAAAGAAAGAAGAAAGCATGTTTTCTGAATCAAAATAACAGCAAAAATTTTACTTCATAGCTACTGGTGTCATTCCACATTGCTTGATGGCTGGGCTTGAGGAAGATCTTCCTAGAGCAGATTCAAAGGAGAAGTAAATTCTGCCTCCATGGAGAAAATTTCAGTACAGGTTGACTGAGGATGACATCTGAATGATGAGCCCACAGCAGAACTGGACTTTCTCCCTCAGCACATTGAACTTCTTTCTTATCTCTCCTTCCCTTTCCCACACTCTCTACCATAGGGTGACTCTCCAGAGAAAATGGCAATCTAAGGGGCAGCCCTGTGTCAGACTTAGATGCTGGTCTTTGCTTATGGTACCCACTCTGCATCTCACACTGATTCGTCCAGGGCTGCCTGAAGAAGTGGTCCAGGTAAATATTTGCCCTTGTCTGAGTACGTTAATTCTGTTAGAAGTGTCAAACAGTTAAAAGGCCGAACCACATAAGAGCTCTAAACAAATCCACAAGGAAAGAAGAAGAGGCACCAGACCAGCAAGATGGCTGAGTGGGTACAGGTTCTTCCTGCCAAACCTGAAGACCTGGCTTTTATCCGCAGTACCCACACAGTAGAAGGAGAGAATCGACTCCCGTAAGTAGTCCACATGCATGCTATGATGATACGTGTATATGTGTGCAACATACATACACACAGAAAATTAAAATAAGAAAAAAAGCCACCACTGTTCACCGAGTCCATGTGAGGAAGATGTTCACATTGTCTTACCCTACAGAAAATTAACAATAGTTAGTCTTGAGATAAATTGAATTCAGTGCCCTAGTTAATTGAGTCCTGTGTGCTAGCCTCTCCAATACTCACTGAATACAAAGAGCTCTCTTGCCCGTGGAAAGGCCATAGAGCTAACTCGTGACCACCTCTGTGAATTAGGAGGTTTTAGGAGATCCAGGTGGGTGGGCAGTGCTGCTTTCTGAGGTAACAGACCTCCAGTGAGAGCCCTGTTCGCTGGCAAAGCATCCAGTTTTGATGGTAAATAAGACACAAGACCTGCCATCCACAGAGTCCCAGTCTAGCCAAGGGGAGAGACGTACACAAGAGAAATCACAGCCCGATTTTATGGAAAGGAACCAAGAAGGTTCTTTGTGAAACAGTTTCTGACATTGAAGGATCTTGCCAGTTACATGGTAACACAGTTACATGGTAAGTTTAGCAGACTCAAGGTTTGGTTTTTTTTTTTTTTTTGTGACTGAGATTAAGAGAAGATAACAGAGAGGGTGAATGCGACCAAAGTACCTTATGTGCTTGTGTGGAACTTGCACAGCGGCAGCCATTATGTACAATTAACACATCGTAATCACGTCTTTCAAATAGTGCTAACTATCTTCTTTCTCATTATTGCCTTTTCTTTTCCTATTTCAGTGTCCTCCTGTCAGACACCGGGATCAAAATGAAGCCCACCCAAATTCCTTTCTACACATCTCAATACTAGCAAATGCCAGTTTGTATTCTAGGTGAAATGCGATGTCTGCCTTAGACACCATCATCTCGTCCATTCTCGCCTACTTCCTAACGATCACATGTGGTGCTGAACACAAGACCCTCACAGCTGAAAGATGGTGGCTTTCCTGTTCCCAGTCCTCATTTTCATCTCAGATGCTTGGCTCTTTCAGAAGTAAGTACTGAACGACATGAAACTTTCTTGTGTTTCACTACAGAAGGTCATGTATTTCAGCAGAGTATGCTTTAGTGAGTTCTGTTCTGCTTAGCCCTGTTGCCATTTGGGGCTGGATCACTCTTCCTTTCTGGAAAGCCCTCCTGTGCTTTATAGGATTGGGGTCCGTATCTTTGGTTTCTGTCTACTAGGTCAGAGCAACCCTAGAGGTGTGGCAACCAGAAATATCTCCACACGCTGTCAAATATTCCCGGAGTAAAATGGTCCCCAGTGGATCGCAACTTTGAGCTAATGACATCATGCAATGTGGCTGATTGTGGGCTGCTGATGGACGTGCAGCTTGCGCCTGCCACGCTTTTTAATGTACTCAACGCATACTGTGTGCCGAGTATGAGAAGAATCACAGCGAGTAAGCTGGTCCTCAGCTTGATGCAACGTGTAGAGTGTGGAGGTCAGAGAACTCAAGAGCACCAGTTCTCTCCTTCTCTCCTGGGACCAGACTCGGGTGGAACTCAGTGCTCCACGTTTCCTACCTATCTGTAATAAATGTACAAAATGAGGTAGTAGTATGTGTTCTCAAAATCCCTCCAAGCAGTGGAAAGTCTTTATAATTTTCTTTAAACTTTTTTTTTTTTTCAAAAAACTGATTCTTCTACAGAGGATAGATAGGAAGGTGTTGTTTTCTTTTACTGGTGTGGTATTTAATTATTTTCATGTTTAATTTCTTTCTCTGTATCCTTCATCAACCACCACTTGTGCTGTGAGTTTCGGGGATATTAACAGCACCTGCCTATATGCAGAGAGCTCGTATTGTTTGAGCAGCTGTTCACACTTGGACCATTTTTGAAGCCTGTTCAGTTTTAAAAGAACAATTGTTGACAAAATAGATCTCACTATTGTGTAACTGAAGCAACTCCTCATTGTTCATCTTACCACTGTCAATATATAAACACCTTAAAAAAATAAAAAGTAATTATTCCAGATCCTCTAACATAGGGGTTTTTAACCAGTGGGTCATAACCCCTTTGGAGATCAAATGACTCTTTCACAGGGGTCACCTAAGACCACTGAAAAACACAGATATTTACATTATGATTCCGAACAGTAGCAAAATTACAGTTATGAAGTAGCAATGAAAATAATTTTATGGTTGGGGGTCCCTGTGACATGAGGGAATGTATGAGAGGGTCAGAGCATTGGGAAGGTTGAGAACCACCTCTATAACAGCATTATGTTTTCTTTAAAATTGAATAAAACTAAGAGTTACAGTGAAGACGCATGTAATCCCAGGATTTAGAACGTGTAGACAGAAGGATTGTGAGTTGAGTCCAATCTGGACCACATAGTAAGTGTAGAGTACACTGGAGTACTTAGGGAAACTGTGTCTCAGATAGAGAGACAGGTGGGTAGATAATATAGGTATGGCAAGATACAATTTATAGCATTGATATTACCTTTGAGCTGACAGGGTACTGTGCAATTTAGCCCACATTAATAAAATAACTACTTTCCAGGAATCTCATTGCCCTGGCATTTATCTAGACCTGTGTGCATGCAAAGCAGTTCAGTGAAGCTGTAGTATGAGTCTGTGTTGTTTTGCTTTCCTGTGTTAGCTAGTAAAGAAGCTTTAGGGAGATACATAATTACTTCTAATTTTAGTTTTTATCAGAGTTCTATTCTGTGAAAATTTTATTTTTCAACTCTGGCATTGTTTCTGTGTACTTATAGTTGTATATATGTGTAATTTTATTTCAACTTGCTTTGTATTGAGTGGTTGCTAAATGAAAGGAGCCATGCAAAGCACTTTTCATACATCAAGTATTTAGTGTAAGAACCTCATGAAAGTTACATAGTGAGAGGCTTGAAGAATGGCTTGGCAGTTTAGAGGATCCTCGCTACTTCCGCTACTTCCGGAGGACCTGAGTTTGGTTCTCACACACATCAGGCAGGTCACAACTACCTGCAACTCTCGCCCCAGGGGACCAAACACCCTCTTCTGGTCTCTTTAACCACCTACCTACCTATACACACACACACACACACACACACACACACACACACACACACACACACACACAAAGAGTTACATAGTGAATTCTAGAATCTTGGTCTGAATCCATCATGTTTTTGTTATTTGTTTTTCCTTTAATTTTCCTTTTTCGACTCAAAGCCTCACTATGTAGCTTTGGCTGGCCTTGAGCGCACAGACCAGCCCTTCTTCTGACTACCAAGCACTGGAGTTCAGAGCCTGCACCACCTTGGCCTGGCTTCATGTCCTTGCGGCTAATGACGGCAGCATGTGGCTCTGCTGGCAGTGTATTCAGCATCGAATTGAACACCTCAAGAAAGGTATGTGTGTTGCCTAAGCTCTCTGCTGCTTGAAAGATTCAGTTCAGACATTTTGATTTTGTATTCAGATGACAATACATGAGTTTTTATTTGTTTGAAACAAAAATCTAATGATATTTCTTAATCTATTCTGGTGAGAAGGGCAAATGAAAATTTCTCTGATTTCCAAAACTTAAAAGAGAATCCCCCCTCAGCCTGTGCTTCACCTCCAAATTAGCGAGAAAAGGCTGGGAAGAGGGCTCAGCAGGTAAAGTGTTGCTACACAAGCACGTGGATCTGATTTCAGATACCCAGCACCCATTTAAACACCCAGATGCAGTGATGTGCCCTTGCAACCCCAGTTCCGGAAAGGGAGAGACTGGAGTTCACTAGAGTTCAATGGCCAACCAAGCTAGCCGAACTGATGAGCTCCATCCAGGTCCAATGAAAGACGTCGCTTCAAAAGTGATTGAGGAAGACACCCAACATTGACCTCTGGCCTCCATACACACACATGTGCATGCACATGTAAACACACACATATCACACACACAATAAATAAAGAGACAGATGCATATTACAGCATTGTTGAAATGATAATCATGACTCTAAACTGATCATATTTTAAGTAGTTGAACAAGTTTACTCTAATTTTGGTTTTATAACTTATGAAACCATATGACTAAATCAGATATAATTAAAAAATTGAAAAGGGGACTATTTTAAAACAGCATACTTGTATAATGAAAACTGTCTTGAGATAATTTCCCACACATTTTACACTGTAATGATTATGGGGTGTTCCCAGGCAGGATCAACTTGTTTTCCTCCGTTGCTGGGGCTTGTCTTACAATTTGCTCATTTGGGGAGCTAATTTATGTGAGAATATTTACATGTGAGTGTGAGAAAGAGGAGAAGTAAATCATAGTCGAGGGAAAACATGCTCTGTAAATACTCAGACTTGAAAACCAGACGTTTGCAGTGAATTTAGTTGAGGTGCTTGGGGGAGGGTGACGAGCTGATGATGTTAGTATTATTTTCATTGTTCCCATCTTGCAGGTGAGGAAAATGAAGCAGAGAGAACTGAAAGAGCTCCCCCAAGACTGTGAGGCTGAGAAGTGCCTGGGGGTCTTGAAGTCCAGCACCAATCCTGTAGATCACTATTCTGACTTCCTGCTGTCTAAATCGGAAGAGTCAAAAGATTCCCGGGGGATTTCACATGCAAAGGACACTTTATGTTATAGCCAGAGCTTCAGATATGTTATGACCTCAGCTAGACATTGGGACAGAAGGTGATCTGTAAGTTGAAGGTGGCATTTTCTCTGCCAGATAATTCCTCCCCATAGCCTGTTACATGAATTCCTAATAGGTCTTATAATAAAACACTCAGAGTCAGATGTTGGGGTGAATGCTGAAAGATCAGAGGAAACAAAGGAACAAGCCACAGCCATGTCTCACCTTGCCAACTCCATGAATCCTCTGACTGAATGTCTCTGAGTCCTCAGCCAAAAGGGGATCCAGCCAAAAAGTGCTTCAGCTGAAAAGCCTAGTTCCTGTCTCCTCACGTCTTATATACCTTTCTCCGCCCAGCCATATTACTTCCTTCCTAGTGCTGAGATTAAAGGCCTGTGACTCCACCACTGCCTGGCTCTGTTTCTCTCCTAGACTGAGTCAATCTCATGTAGTCCAGGGTGGCTTTGAACTCACAGAGATCCAGATGGATCTCTGCCTCCTGAGTGCTAGGATTAAAGGTGTGTGCCACCACTGCCTGGCATCTATGTTTAATTTAGTGGCTTGTTCTGTTCTCTGATAGATGGTATTAGGGTACACCATCTATCACCACAGCAGCCTAGCACATTTTTTTTGTGGCCAAGATGAGTGCTGCTAAGTGTCTGTTTTGGAAGGAAAGAGGATGAAGGGTTTTTTTGAGAACACATCCTGACACTAACCTAAAAGGGAAAAAGGCCATTTTCCCTGTAGACGAATATCTTTCAAAAATGACCACTCTACATAACAGCTAGTTCACCAATAGTCTTTGAAGCCTGGTCACGAACCCACTGCATTTCCAGACATGCATCATTTGTTTTTACATGACTGGCTAGAGCTGACCTCTTCTGGTCCCATTATGGCTCTGCTAGAGAGATGGTCTCTGAGGTTTTAAGCAGATCTCAGCCACTGAAACCTCAAGCCTTGGTTGCTTTAGGAACCTGAGAACGGGGAGCGAGGAAAGCTGGAGCCAAACTGGCCTACGGTTGAACTGGAGCTTTGAGGTGTATTAGTTGCACAAACACAATCACTCAATTGTGTTCCTCCGTTGACTGCTCTGGAAATGAGAATAATTATGTCCTCCCATAGGCTTGTTTTGTGGGTTAAGGGAAAACTGTGTATATTGGTTAACATCAGATAAGTTGTATTCTTTCCCTGTGTTTTATGCTTGTAACTGAACACCCTTAGTTACGGCCATGCAAGGGGAGGAAGAAAATGGACTGCATTGATTTTCTTGAGACAGAATCTTATACGGCCCAGGCTGGCATCCAACGTGGAGCTGAGGATGACCTGCAGCTTCTGAACTCCTGCCTTGACCTCCCAAATGCTGGAAATTTAAGACGTGTACCACCACACCAGTTTTAACAAGTACTGGGGATCTGCCGGGGGGGGGGCAGTGTCTCCATCTAGGCACCCACACTACAAACTGAGCTACATCTCCAGCCACTAGTTATAAATTTCAAAACATACCTCCCATGACTAAAATCCTAAGGGTCAAACACTATTCTTTAGAAATGATACCTGCATCTCTCTGTCCCACTTCTCTTGATAATAATTTGCTTCTCAAAAATGTTCTTCTCATTGGTAACCCTATCAGTCCTAAATTTACTTCTTACCAGTTTCCAGTCTAGCATTTAAAAAAAACAAAAACAAAAACAGCTATCCTCAGACACATCTATTTATAAAAGTCATTGCTTACTTTGATTGGAACAATTTTTGCATGCTGATCCCTGAGACAACAGTAAGTCCAGGGTGGTTCCACAGTTTCATTGATCAAGCCTAGATCATACATACCCATCCACCAACTCAGGCATGGTTTCTTCAAAGCCTCAAGACAGAGGGTCAGGGAGCATGGTTTCCCAGACAACAATGTAAACATGACCTGAAACAAACACTAGAATTCAATTAGATGAGTTTGTTACATTCTAAAACTATAATAGTGGTAGACATGGGTTTTACTCTTCTCTAAGAATCATTATTTTCTCAATATATATCAAATTATTTATTTGTGATGTTGACATTACAGGGTAATAAGCCTCATCCAAGTCCATAATTGGCCATACCTGATTAAGATTCCCCAAAAGGAATTTAGCCACTTAGCATTTTTGGTTGCAAGAAATATGTAAGTGCTTACGAAACAGTCTTGCCTTACACACAGAATGAGTAGAGTGGCCCACAGACTCGAAGGCATCACTGAGAAAAAAAGCTTCAGGGAGCTTAGAAAACAGCACAGTTTCTGAGGACTTGAGCCCTGAGAGCTCATGGATCCTGTGGCTAGGTCACCTCAGGGCACTTCCATTCAAGATTCAAATTGCCAAAAGGTGGATGAAACCACATTGATGCAAAGGTCCAACCCTGTGATTTAGAAAATAGTCTCTTATAAAAAAAAATCACAAATTAGAGTTAAGAGGATGCTCTGGGGAGGGGGTGGTACAAAACCAGAACAAACCACAGTAATCTGAGGCCATGCTAAGACGCCAAGATTATTGCTCAAGAATGTGAATTTAGAGTCCAAAAACAAACAGTCTGAGTGACTTCTAGCTTGGAGGTCGTGTAGTTAGAGACCAGAGTCATAGTAGAGAGGTAGAAGGAACAGCCAACAGTGACGGAAGGAAAAAGCTAAGAGATGCTTACAGTGGGGTCACCATCTGTGAAAGGTGATGAAGGATCAGATGATCTTGTCTATATGTAAACACCACGGAGTGGACTTACTTCCACAAATTTAGATATATAGGTCAGTGATACCTCAATCCATAGGGAAATCATTTCACTTGGCTTCTTAGACAGTCAAGAGATATGCCAAGCAAAAGATCCATGAGGTGAGTAAAGCTGCTGCCAATGTATAAAACTCTTCATGTAAGTAGAAGTACATGCTAAAGTAATGATAAAGCTGAGTAGCGATGAAGGCTAGGAGATCGCTCATTGGTTAAGAGCTCTGACAGCTTTTGTAGGAGACTTGATTTCAGTTCCCAGCACTGGCATCAGGTGGCTCACAACTGCCTAGAAGTGCAGTTCTGGGGCATCTGATGCCCTCTGGTCTCTGGGGTACCTGTACATACATGATGTACATAAAATCAAGTAAGCAAACATACACATAAATAAACAAACAAATCTTTAAAAAATATAGCAGATCCATAATTCAGTAACATGGTCATATATTATTATTATTGTTAAGTGCATAATTGTATGTGCTGTGCTTTTACATGTCTGACAGTGCAGTATGTTTGTTTACAATATCAGCACAGATGCCTGAGTAATGCATTCATCACAGTATGAAGTGACTGTGGCTGTGACAGAGCCAATTTTTCAGCACTATCATACCCTTACAAGACCACCACTATACATGCAACTGTCTTGAACAAAGCATTTGGTGGAAAAATGTGGCTTTCTTGTTACTACTTTGTTCTAGAATATTGGACTATACAATCATTGGAATCAAAGTCTTCTTAGACACCAAATAATACTGAAAAATCAGGTAATCACAGATAGTGGGACAAAAAACATTTTCCAATTCTGCATTTGGTAAGGTGAGATGGCTTACTTAGCAGATAAAGGCTAAGGTAGACCTGCTGTCAACCCTGATGACCTGAGTTTGATCCCTGCAACACACACAGTAGAAGGAAAAAGCAGAACTAACTCCCATGGATGTCCTCTGACCTACACCTACACGCATACACAAGGTGTTGAGCACTTACTAAGTATCACACACTATTTTAAGCATTCACATGTGTTTCACTTAATCCCCACAAGTTCCCTATAATATGGGTAGAACTATTAGTTCCCATCTTACACACAAGGTAATTAAGAGAGAGTGAACCATGGAGCCAGGATTCAGATTCCCTAATTAACACCAAAGCCTAAGTTCTTGGAAGTATAATTTTTTTGCACAAACCTCAGTGATGAAACTGCTTACAAGACTTCTAAGTTTCAGGATGGTTCAAAACCTTTATTTAATCCCTCTAAATCAAAACAAAACAAACCCCCCTCTTTTCCAGATCCTGGTCACATTTCAGAGTTACTCGGTTATTTCCATGGGCAGGAGTCTCATCTGGACATTGTCAGAGACTCACTAAGACAGGTGACCATTTGCTGGGCAACTGCAGCACAGGAATAACTGATAAGCATTGTGTTCTTCACTCCCACACCTACGGAGGCAGCCAGTCCACCCAATTCTCATTCCCTCCAGTTGTGTACGATTATGTGACAAAATGCTTAGACTACATGCACCGTGATTATGCAGCATGCTTGTGTGGTAAGCTCAGTCACTGTTTGAATGATGAAAACACCACGAAGGAATCACTTTGCAGTCATAACATCTGCAGGCGCTAACCTTTGAGAAACAGGTGGAAAAAGGGACACTGTAGTTTCTTGTGAGAGAGTTTCTGTCACAGATGGTTTCACTTGACTTACATCGTTACTCACCCTTCCTTCCTTCCTTCCTTCCTTCCTTCCTTCCTTCCTTCCTTCCTTCCTTCCTTCCTTCCTCCCTTCCTCCTCCTCCTTCCTTTTTTTCCCCCCCTGAAGAACAATTCAGTCTGAGAACTGTCCTTTAATCCTCAATATCCTACCAAGGAGTGGTTCCATCAAGTGCTTCAAAAGCACACAGTGTGAGAGAGCATTAAAGGTCCCCTGCTGGTGAGTGGAGTGCCAGGACACAGGTTCCTTGCCCCCCGCTGGACACTGCACTCCTCTGGCCGTCACTGTGGGCACAAATACAGGCTGGAGTGTGAGCAGATGCCAAGAACCTGTCTCTTTCCACCTCCCTTCTCCCTTTTCACTGTGCTACTGAAAGAGAAACAGAAGAGGGTGGGGGGCCGGGTTGGGGGGCAGGGGGAGGGGTAGAGAGACCGCCTTGAGCCAAACTAGGAATGTATTAGTTTCCTAGCTAAAGAAGGAAAAAAAACAAAAAAAACAAAAAAAAAACAGTGAGTTTTTAATTCAAACGATTTGAAATCCTTCTCTTTTTGCATCAAACTTCTGACCACATTGTTTGGAAGCCACAGTGCTAGATTACAGTTAACTCCTGCATTAACTTCCTGTGGCGAATGTGCCCCTTTACTGAGGATGATTTTTTTCTTCTAGCACATTGACAGAAGGATAATGTCTAACCCTAGAAATGGAGATTTCAGCTTGATAATGTATTGTTGACAGTTACTCATTTCTTAATCCAGTCATGATGAGACAAGGAACTGCATAAGCCAAAGACCACATGAATTATCAATGTAAGTATCAAGAGGGTGTGGAGGAAACCGGTTCCAATTTCTTTTCCTGCAACTGTTGTATTGTTGTGCCTTTTAAAACAATTGTCAAAAATATATAAAGCCCTGATACAATGTGCTAACGAC